AGATGATACTACATATAGGGTCAAAGAGATGATTAAACTAACTGATTCATGTATATTGTCTAAAAATCATGGGCAGGACATCTTGGCTCATGGAACAAGTGCTTGCTTTGTGTTTTATCATTATCAGTTTTATTATTATCATTTTAGCTGCTATGCAATAACATGCTGATTCTCCTATCTTCATTTAACCCATCCTTTCTTATGTCATTTGTCTAATAAAAAAATGTCAGTGCCTTTCGGGGAAGATGATGGCCAACGTGTCATGAAGGGGTTTTTCTTCCTTTCCAGGAGAATCCAAGCCACCCTAAAACTTACAATCTCAAGTGATTAGTAAATAACAAAGCACAAATACTCAGAAATATATTTAGGAAGCAAAGCCCCTGATAGATCTAGTCCACGTGGGTTCTGGAACTAGACAAAAGACAAAATGGCTCTGGTAGTTTACTTAAGGGGGTCCATCAAAGCAGAGATAAGGTTTCAAGGGCAAAGTCTTGCTTCCTGATGTCTTGCATTCAGCACGTTGACTGACATTTTGGCAGGTCACACCCATCTCAGATGCTGTGTGGGATCTTTGGCAGAGCTTGAGGGGAAAGTTCACCTACGTCAGGTAGTCAATCCCTGTGTGGGGGGGAGGAGAGTGGGGGGTGCCACCAGAAGTTCCCAATGCCAGATTTACGCCCTCGCAAGGCTCCTATGTGCAACAGTCCACACACAGCCCATGGACAGCTAATGACAAATGCCTAGTGATGTTTTTCACTTGACAAATGCTAACTCTTCCGCCTGAATGTTAAGATACTTCAACGAGACCCAATCTCTCASATGTGTCCCTGACTTAGTCAGGCTTGTCCCTAAACTGAAAACATTCCTTCTTTGACTTATAGCATCTTCTTTTCTCCCTTAAGCCACTCAGTTTCACTCATCTTTGAATGAAGAGCTCAGATTCCAATACTAGAGTGAAGCTTTCTCTCATTCTCATGGATCCCATGGACTCCTGTAGTGCTTAATGTAGTATGATAGAGCAGACCTAGTTATTGATGATCAAATGGTGTCTGCAGTGAAGGTTCATAATGGTAGCTCAGGTTAATGTTCAACATTTGGAGGCTAAGAATTGGAAAAGKTTTGATAAAAAAGTATTCCAATTTACAACTTTTATAGTTGTCTTAGGAATAAAAGAGAATACCTTCACAAATGTATCTGGGATTTTAAATATATCATGTACTAAAATCAATCATATGAAACCATCATTTTTGAATATTTGAGTTTATTTATAAAAATTGAATTGTTCAATAATATTTTCTGAGCATTATATGTACATCTGAGCATTAAGGATATACTTATTTCTCATTAATTTGGAGTCTGCTTGGAATTACATGGAGACCAAATGAAAAATATGGTGATCGTGACTTTTAAGAACTTTGCTAAATTTTTCTTTTCTTTTCTTTTCCTAAGGAGAAAAATGTGCCACTCTGGATATGAACCAAAGCAAATATGATTTGAGAAATTTGAAACCCTTTCAAAAATATAGTGTATCATTATATGCCTTTGTCCATGCAAAAATACAACGTAATGGAAATGCTAACCAGTGTGAATTTCAAACCCAAGCAGGATGTAAGTTCC